TTTGTAGACCACCTATTTAGCGCCTTAGTTTTACCGAATTTCAGTTATGGTCTGCCTGTTTATGGCGCTGTAGACTCAGATCTCACGGTCATACAAAACGTTCTGGATAGATGCTTTAAAAGGAAATACACATCTTAGACTAATAGAATGGACATTAGAGAACTTTTAGAAAAGGCAGATAAGAAGCTATTCAAGGTACGTTCAGTGGATCCCGATTGCCTGCTTAGTAACATCATTCCGAAGAAGAAAGAAACAAAGTATCAACTCAGAATCAAAAGTGCTCATCGCCCGGAGACAAAGACTGATAGATTTAAAAATGTTTTTGTATTTTTAGACTCTGAACTGCTGATGTAACTTAAGATATGTCTTTTTACTCTTAGGAGTAATAAAGATTGATTGATTGATTGATTGATGGATGGATTTGATTGACATGTTTTCCCTTGTGTTGCATTGTTTCCATGAGTTCGTTGTTAATATAAAACATTTCATTAAAATGCAGGTGAATTTGGACCTTCTAGAAATGTTCTGTTGTCGGAATATCAAATCAGGGCTTTTTATGCCTGGTGTTATCTTGAGTGGTTTGTAAGTTAATAATAACTCACGCTTACATAAAGCAAACAATCAAACAATGCCCGATATAAGCCGAAAAAAGTTCAAAAACAGCGGGACACTTAGCGACGTGAGAGAGGACGAAAAAAGGCGACTAAGCACGAGAATGTGAATAAATCGTGTAATCATCATTCTTGCAGTTAAGGAAGATGGACAACTCGGAAGCAAAATTCGTGCGCGGATCGCTCTTGAAATAAGAACTAATGTGTACTCGCAGCTCAATTTAATTTGCTGATAATTATATATACAATATAATATTTAAAATTAAAACTCGTGTACAACAGAATTGAACATTTTCAACCAAATTGCCTTTGAAGCATTTTTTCAAAACGAGGTAAAGTGCGAGGTCAAGGTTTGATATCAAAGCAGTTTCTTATTCTCACGAAAATAGAACACATTATCAAATTATGGTTTTGTGCCTGATGATAAGGACACGGATAAAAAAAAAGAAACTAGCTAAAAGACCGAAATTGGACAAAACTGAAATATTTACTAAAAACGTTTCTCATTCTCACGACCTTCACTAGTACACTGGTCAGCTGAGGCGGTACATTCAAAAACCTTTTTGCATTTCCATAGAAACCTTTTGGTAGTTGGGAACTTGCTTAAAGTGTCTTAAGAGGTGGTATTTTATAAAATTATAATTCAATGAGCCTATAAGGTGAATAACTGTTTTAGGAGAGAAAAGGAAAACCAATTGTTATCGGCCCAGACATCGGCATCTTAACTTTGTGCTTCACCCAGACTGTGTTTCACCAATCATGAGCAACCTAAGAAGCGGACGCTGTAACCAACCTACGTAAGCATCTTGAGCATACTTACTGATCGCGTGCAAGGTGCTAGGCAACAAGCTAGAAACGTCCAACAGCATATTTCATGAGTTCACGTTTCATTTAAGTTTTTGCAAACGATAATTGGGAGGCTTAATGTGCTTACTGGCACGATGAGACATGATGATGATAAAACGATAATTGGATGAGAAGGACACGCGAAAATTCCGGTTATGTGTACTGATGGAGTACTGAGTTTCTTTAAAATGAAATCTACCCATACCTTATGCAATCAGGAGCAAATTCGACTCCTTACGCAACTTCTGCAGTTTATATGATTAATAAAGGGAACCACGACCATGCCAGCCAGTTATGGTGTACTGCACTGACGCATGCATGTGATAATTGCTGTGCCGCCTGTCACCACGTCGCTAAGTTGAATCACCTTCTGTGTATCTGTTGTATTTTTCAAAGCAACATACTGAAAAAGCTACGGAAAAAACGTAGTTTCTCTCTTGCATAACTTAACTAAAAGAAATTTGTCATTTACCGATATTTGAAAATATTTCGACTTTCCATTAAATTTGTGCTGTAACGACGGGCATTCTTTGGTGTTAAATGCGGTCACCGTATTTACCAAGCCTAAGGTGTAATATTGTTTCACTAACTGATGACTCAACCAGGTGATAATCAGCAGAGGAGAAGAAATTTTTGTGACCGCAGCAAAAGGACTTCTTTGGCGCATGAAAACACTGAGCGACATAAACAAGTTTGAAAAAGATTGTCCATACTGAGTGGATATCAGTTTCGCCCCATTTCCAGAATCCGGGAAATTTTTCCAAGTGGGATCCGCATCCTGGCCTTTGGAATCTAGAATACAGCTCAAGTAATCCGGAATCCCTCTAACGATTTGAATTCGGAATCCAAGGTCCACTGACAAGGAATTCTGTATTTATGATCTTATTCTAAAGATAAAGACGACATTAATTCAACTATTCATCCTCCCAAATAGTTTTATGGGAAATGTCGCTCCTCTAAGAGGGCATTGATTAAGAAAACTCTCGAAAGAAAATTATCCGCGAATTTCATCGATTAGGCACGCCTGGAAATAAGACACGCATGACCTGGGGAAGGGGACAGTCGCTCCTCTCTCCCTAGCCCCCGCGCGGCTTTCGCATCGGTTCTTGCAATCTTTGAAGATTAGCTAGTGCCTGAAACAGTAGTTTCGGACAACCCCCCTCCCCCCCCGCCCTCATGACCAAAAGAACAAATGAAAACCCCCACCCCCACTTTAGGAGAAAACTAAAACAAAGAGGTAGCAGAAGGGTCCTAGATGTTAGTATTTCAGTATATCTGAAATACTAACATCTTGGACCCTTCTGTTACCTTTTTGACTTAGTTCTCATTTAAGGTGGGGGTGGGGGTTTTCATTTTTTCTTGTGGTCAAGGGGGCGTGGAAGGTGGTTTTCCTAAACTACATGTACTGTAAAATATCGTGTGTGCAAGTTATTAACAAAAGGAGACTCGATAAAGGGCCCTTTCAAATTTTGGCTTTTTTGTTATTTTCCTGATTTTCTTGTTTGTTTCGTTTTTTCAAAGTGTTTATTTATTATTCATTCTCAATATCTGAGTTTAAAACAAAAAATAAGGGTTATTTAAAAATCAATTAACAGCTTACGTCGGCCTGTCTGGCGGCAATTACTTTATGGTACTTTAAGGTACTTCAAGTAGTCTCAAGCGTCTTTGTAAACCTTCACTTAACCATTGTATGCACGAAAAGAAAACAATATGAAGAAGCGTACTAGACTTTCAGTGGTTTGGTATTTACGGTCCTTTGTTCTGTTGTCGAAAGATGGATCATATTTTTGGGTTAGTTTGATGGGCAGACTCGAACTTTCAAAGTACAAACTACACCGAACATTAAAATTAATATTAATGTTATTAGACTATTCTGCTTTCTTTCTTTCTTTTTTCCCTATTTTCCAGGTTTTCCTGTTCTCTGTTTTGAATTTCGAAGTTTTTATACCACCGATCACTGTTCTGAGCTTAAAAACAAGAAGGTTTCATCAAATTTCACGTTTCACTTTTAATCACGGCGTCCCGGGCCTGTTTGGCAACACTGATGACTTAGTTGTCTTTCTTCAAGTGGGCACACACGGACAACTTTGTACTACGAAAATGATAAAACACGCTATATATATATATAAAGAAGCTTACTCGGGTTCAATGGGTTTTTATACTTCTTTTGTTTCGTTCGTTGGGCAGTTTCGAACTCGCGATTTACGCGGCAAAAACATTAAGACTAGTAAATATTCAATTGAATAATTATTCAGCCGAACGATCGATAGCAAACCTCCTTGATTATGACTCGAAAGGTGAATTAATTCGCAGTATGGCCCTTACTGCCCGTTGGATTTTTCTATGTTTTCTAGCTAAAACAAGATAAAAAAAATTCCAATGGGTAAATGCTTCTGTACGCGTATACTGGAAATGAATTTACCCTCGATCGTGGAATTTTAATGACTATGTTTCACACATACACTTCGTAGATTTATAACAAACTATTATGAAATAGACACCAAGAAGCCTTAAGTTAAAGCAAATTAATGAAAAGACAAAACTTCAGTACTGTAACACCAGAAACTTGGGTCATCCTTTCTTGCTATTTAAGCGGTAACTGTAATTTATGTTCGCTCATTAAATTGCTTTCACTCAGCGCTTATCAATCCCAGCACTTAAGGAAGCTATTTGAATATAATGTTATGGAAATTTTTTAAGAGGAGGTACCTGGAAGACCACGTCATTCCATCCCGTTTCTTTGCTGAAGGCAGAAGGTTCAGTCTCCTATTCGTTTGTCGGAACGTAACTGCTACTTTGTCTAGTAGCGGGAAAAGCAAAATAAAATGCCGCATAGGACACCACTCAAGAACAATTTTTCAAAAGAAATCAAACAAACGATTGCAGTCCTTTAACTTGTTAACGCCCTAAGCTGGGAGCCGCGATCCGCGCTTTCTGCATCGTGAAAAATGTACCCCAGACAATTTTAGCTTTCTTACCTGGGGCCAAAGAGTCTTACACCTCTAGCGGTAACATGGACCACCGGGCTGAAAAAATTCCCAGAGGTTCAATACAGGATAAGGGCATTTTAAGCTCCAAACAAAGCACGAAATAAGCATTGGCACTTTGAGACTGTAATTTGATTGAAAAATTTACGCTGCGAAGACATTACATTACAGCTCTGTTATCACGTCTTTTAAGGTAGAACATTTTGTGCTGTTCATGAAAAGTACAATTTTTCGAAATTTTAAATTTATTAAACATTCAGCGCCATTAAAACAAAAAAGCTCGAGTGTCATTTTTTATTTTTAGCCTTTGAGTTAATTTCACCTTTTTTTGTTTGTTTCCTTGTTGGATGTCTCTATCCTGGGCTTCGTCGTTGCCTAGAGTTTTAATTGACCCTCCGGGCATCTTTCCAGCATTTTTTAGGTTGTGAAGTCCAAAGAAAATGCATTTTCATCAAAGATATGCCTTAATCTTTAGAAATTATAAAATTTTCTCATAGATCTTGGAGGAGAGGTATCGCTAATTTCGCTATTTGAATATAACTATCCTTTTAATTTAGAAACGCCGTCATGTGACCTGGATGTAGCCTTTCTGATAGACTCGTCAGGAAGTATGTCACCTAATGGCTTTGATCAAGAAAAAGATTTCGTCAAAAAAGCAGCCAAAGAGTTGGGTGTGGCACCAGGCAAGAGTCGGGCAGCAGTTATACAGTTTGCTCTCAATGCAACGGAGAAGATTGGATTCAAAGAGGTTCGAGCATTGGCTGATTTTGAAAGTGCCGTTGACGACATTAAATATCGAACAGAAGGCACCGTGACACGTATCGATAATGGGTTGAGCAAAGCTAAAGAGGTGTTCGAGAAAGTCCGCTCAAGCGACAGAATAAAGCTTCTCCTTCTGCTAACAGATGGAGAACAGCCCATTGAAGATGAAAAATTAAAACAGTTGTCCTCTGAATTGCGCAATGCTGGTATCCGCCTTCTCGCTGTTGGTATTGGTAGTGGAGTCAACGAAAAGCAGCTGAAACTTATTGCGGGGGACGATGCAAACGCGATAACTGCCACTGATTTCAACCATTTGAAGGACAAGCTAGGTTCATTGGTAAAAAAAGCCTGTGGTAAGTTATTACAATCTGAAAAAAAAAAACAAGAGAAAGCGAGAGAAAAGCGAAAAAAGGAATACGGATGCCGACCAAACTAAAACGAATTGCATTTATGTAAATATTGAGAAACAGCGACGTTACGTTTTCGGTTTTGCGTTGATTTGAATCAATGCTTGACTTTATTCCCAAACAATGTTGCGATGACTTAAAATAAATTTTGTAGAGAAAAGAAGTTTCTTTTACTACCGTAGTTTAAGCTGTTATATATAGTTAACGAAAACAGCGAAACATCAGCAAAAATATTGTGATCTCGCCCTCCTATTCAGTATTCTACTGGACGGTTTCTAATTTATTTTTTTGAGCCGTGTTTATTGCGTGACAGTGAAAACAAAGAATATGTATCGAGCGTCGACGCTGATTGAGAATGGTCTTTCGTTGTTTTGTGCAGCAGGAGGTCACGTGACCTTTCTCATGTTAAAGTTATGAGATAAAGCTCTTACCGGTGGTGGTTTGAGTAACCGCCAAAGTTTACGCGGTTAGGGGGAAGTCGATGGAACGCACGCCTTCGATTCAGAAGAACTAATTTCTATAACAGAATGATAGTTTATAAGTTGCAAAAATTGTATAAATTTATTTCAGCTTGTCCGGTGAATGTGGCTTTTATCTTGGATGCCTCAGGAAGTATAACTGATGTATTTCTCAAAGAGAAGGAGGTCGTCCTCGATCTAACAAAGGATATGAACATTGGAGGAGCTGATCAAACAGACACGAGCAAGGTAGCTCTGATGCACTTCAGCCATTTACCGATAATCGATGGCCTCTTCGGAGAGTATGCGACCACGTCCGAGTTCCAGGGAGGTCTCAAGGCGTTGCCTTTCATCGGCAAACAAACACGAATCGACAGGGCCCTGTCAAAAGCTTCCAGTGAAATATTCAAAACAATATCCATCAGCCGCCCTAACATTGCCATTATTTTCACCGATGGTGTGCAGACTAAAGACTTATCTTGGGAAATTCCAAAAGGCCTTAGAGACGCCTCCCAACCCTTGAAAGACAAAGGTGTTCGGGTTATTGCAGTTGGTGTTACCGCTAATGCAAATAAGGAAAGACTCAGGTTGATGACAGACAGATTGGAGGATGTCGTGGTGAACACTGATAAA